TTTTAACAGTTGCTATGGAAAAAATATTTTAAGTAATTTTACAAAACTTTAATCATAAAAATCGTCTTAAAATTCCTTTTTAAATTATGGATTTTTATATAACGCTGCGGCTGTAAGTTACTGAAAGACGGTTTAAAAAATTAATTCGTCAATGTCTTTGATGTCTTCCGGTCTAAAGCTCGATGATGAAAGTTGGGTTGAAAAAGAACGCTGTCGGGGGATTTTTCTAATCCTTCCGAAGCTTCCGAATAAGAGGATTAACTGAAAAGTTATTATGTTGACTGGATAACTATTTTGCGCACGGTATAACTTTAATTTAAAAACCGAGTAAGTCATTTTTATGCTACGGAAAGGATATTGGGGTTACTTTGAGCTGGATTACGTCCAGGTGCAATTAACGTTGAAAAGAGCGCATTTTGTTTTAAAGTTTACTAGGCTTGTGAAAAATATAGTAAAACTAAGATACACTCACCGGCACAAAAAACGGACACCTTAAAATTTTCACGTATTTAATAATAAGTTTTATACAGGATGAGTTTTAAATAAGTGCAAATATTTTCAGGGCTGGTTTTATATGATATTTTCAGTTTTTTTCGCAAAAAAAGATGTCGAAAATCGTGCATTTTCTTTTAAATTTCCCTGTATATTTTTCGAAAACTTTCTAGAACTGCCTGTTCACCGCCAATTTTCACACGATATAATTTCTTAATCTCTGATATTACCATAGTTACGGCTTTACTCTATGGTTACGGCACTAAAAGGGATGTAAATACAGAAAAAATCCGTTGGCTCTGAAAATTTTTCAAAAAAAATATATTTTTTTTAATTTTCAAACTTAAATAACTCGGCTATTTTGGTAGAAGTAGAAAAAAGACTCAAAGTCTCGGTCTCAACGTTTATATAATGATAAAGAGTGACACGTGTTTCGCTCAAACGAGCATCATCAGACAAATACAATTAAAGGTAATCCAGACACACGTTCACATTTTACATATTAAAACAATACTGAGATAAAGCTGATGAGGCTGAAATGAATTCATTTCAGCCTCATCTCAGTGTTGTTTTAATATGTAACATGTGAACATGTGTGTGGATTAACTTTAATTGTATTTGTCTGATGATGCTCGTATGAACTGACACGAAACACGTGTATGACACGAAACACGTGTCACAGTTTAACATTATATAAACGTTGAGACCGAGACTGTGAGTCTTTTTTCTAACAAACAAACAAACAAACAAACAAACAACGCTTTATTGTGCAAAAAGCCAAAACAGCTTCATCGACAAAGCACTCACAAACAACAAAATCACAAAAAAATACAAACAACAAAAAATACACAATACAAATAATACAATTCAAAAAAATTTAAGTCTTTAAAATTACAAAAAGAATATACATGGACAATTTTAGAACAGTACGCAGTAAATAGATATAATTTTAAAGTTATAGAATATTAAATACTTGACCTTTGACCAGTGTGTGAGATGATCAAAATTTTAAAATTCAAAATTGTTCATAATCAAACATCAACAAAAAAGTCGTTTACCGCGTATAGGGCTCTCTCCAGTAGGTATGATTTTAGAGCCTTGCGAAATGCGGGAAAGAATGAAAGCGATTTGATATTCAAAGGCAGATGATTGTACATTTTTTTGGCATTGTACAGTATTGAACCCTTAACTAGTTCTGAGCTCGGGGTTGGCAGATAAAGATCGTGCTCTGCATTCCTAAGTGGATAGTTATGAGATGGCCTTTCGGGAATAGCAGATATGTGCTTGCGGATTAAGCAAACGGATTCAAAAATGAATAAAGAAGGAAGAGTCAGTATTTTCAAATTTTTAAAGAAATTCTGGCAGTGAGTTCTACTGTTCAGTCCCAATAAATATCGAACTGCTCTCTTTTGAAGTATGAAAACACGATCAAATTTTGTTGCGCAGCAAGTACCCCAGAATGGAAGGGCATAACGAAGATGTGACTCAAAAAGGGCATAATAGGCTATTCTAGAGGTTGAGAAGTTAAGTTCCTTAGAAACTGATCTTAGCGCAAAACAGGCAGCGCTTAGTTTCTTTGATAGAGCTTCAATGTGAGAGTCCCATTTTAACGAGTTGTCTACAAGAAGTCCTAAGAATTTCACAGAGTCCACGACGTCAATAGTAGTGTTATTAAGTACAAAAGGTTTATAGTACTTTTATATGACAAAACTTTAGTTTTTGATAGGTTGAGGCATAGGAGATTAGAATCGCACCAAGACTTAATGGTGCGTAAGTCATTGGATATAGTATCATATAGCGCCGCAACATCTGGGCCGCTCCAAGTGAAACTAGTATCGTCCGCAAAGAGGCAGATTTTACCGCTAATGTCCAGATTTGCAATGTCGTTGATAAACACCAGAAACAAAATAGGGCCAAGTCTACTTTTTTTTTAATTTAAACCAGGCCTCTTTGAGAAGAATGGACGCTTTCTTTAAATTTACGTAGAATATTATCAAAATCGGCCCACTAGAGCAAAACATATAAAACTTTAAAATGCATCAATATTTTAGGGTGCCCGTTTTCCGTGCGTGTGAGTGTAGATAGTAAAGTTGTTGTTAATGGGCAAATATTTAATTAATACTACTACATTATGCAATGTTGATTACTGACTTTTAATTTTTTTTGAGAATTCTACATTATCAACTTCTATTTTCCTGTTCCATTTCTCTCAGTGATTTCCCTCACATTGATATTGTCCTCATAGGACATTCTTTGATGCTGTCAACACATATCGGTGCAAAATTTTCTGTAATTTGAAGTTTTCAACAAAAATCATAAATAACTGTTTGGAACAATATTTGCTTAGATCATTTTCAGCTTATTCAACCATTTCCAATTATGGTGTAGCCTCCCTTACATACTCTCTTTGATGTTGTCTATTGTTGACTATGCGAGCCCAAGTTATCCCTGCTAATTTATATATAATATTTATTAACTAAAATATATACAACTCTTTAAAAATATACAATTCAATAATATTAAGCTTTATCTTCGTGACAGTTGTTGGTTGCGGCCTTCTTCATCTGCAACAGTTTGAAGATTTTAAGACTCTCTCTGGGCAGGTGGTATCGAAGGCATTACTCTTTTTATTATAAATTCGTCTATGTCATCTACGTTTATACGCTCTTCTCAAATATCATGTTTATAATTTTTTTCTTGAATTTTTTTTTAATTTAGTTGTGTTAATTCTTTTGGTAACATTATACAGGTCCGGTAATACGATATCTAGGCATGGGAATTACATGCATTGGAATGAAACGCCTATAAAAAGTCTAAGCTTAAACAGAGATGGACAACAACTTCCCCGTTTCCACTTCCACTACGACTGTCGAGTTAGACAAACTCCAATAAGATAACAAATTTTGGAAATTCCGCCGCCTCCCATCCGCAAAACCTCCCATCCGCAAAACGCCATCACCCCAGTCCATAACAGAGTTGCCAGGTCTACCGTTTTCGTCTGTAAGCTACCGATCTACCGATTTAAATAAAAATCTAACGATATGTTCAACTGCGTTTTTGGTCTAATCTGACTTTATTATTGTTTGTTAAATTTTATTTAGTAATCATAGGTCATCGTTCTGTCTAGTTGCAGAGTGACAAAGATATTCCTACAAATCCTTATTACTCTTTATTAGGCGCGGTATTGGCGATATGCCCGAAGAAGTTGATATCTTTTGAAAAGATTTTTTGTTTCATTCATCTACTAAAGTTAAACCCATATTTTCCCCCAAAAAATATAAACAAAAAAAAATCTAAGTTAAGAAACAAACTGAATACGGATAAATATTTTAGTGCTTTTCCTGTCAAAAAAATATATTAATATGAAGAAAGAGTTGAGAGTTGCTACAGCTTTCCCATTGAAATGAAATTAATTTTAGATATCACTGATCAAAATTTGTACAAAGGTAAAAAGTGACTGCTATCCCTACTTGTTATAGTTTTTATTAATATATTAATATTGTTTAATTCAATATATTTTTTTAATATTAAATAATATACCTCTTCCTCAACCCGGATTCATCCACTCCTGGAGATAGGTCTTTCCTATCCTTTTCCATGTCTCCCTGTTTTGTGCTATATTTAACCACCGTTTACCTGCCACTTCCCTAATGTCACGCAGGGACGTGCCCCTGCCCACGCGAGCCTTAGCTTATCTCCCAAGACCATACTGGGGAATTCACTGTCCCATCCCATTCTCATATCCAAACCTCAAAGTTTTCTAGTCAAAAGCGTGATCATACAGTATTAAGTACTTTCCGAAAATTTACAAACACAAAAAAACTAACTTTTTAATAAATACCTGCCTTTATGCAAACGTTGGTAAAATCATTGATAATTTTAAATCAGATAATATTCATATTTATTTTTCAGTTCTTAATAATAGTTATATATCACCGTTTCTCTTTATATTTTGATGATTTTACCTATATCCTGGTATAATATTCAAAAGATATGATACGTGTATGCATGCTTTATCGAAAAACTAAATCTACCAAGAGTATCGAGTTATTTCAGTAAAGGCGTTATTACATTTTATCGGCAGCATCGGACCTTATAATATGAGTTTCTAATAATAGTCCATGCACCATACGTTCACTTTGATAAATGCGAATAATAAATATGGACTGGGGATTATCAGATTTTGAAAACTGAGTTAAAATGAGAATAATATATCATATGGACGCTTAAAGAAGATAGATTAGGCATATTAACACGAAATTGCCTTTCTATAAACTAAATAAACTTGTTTATTGTATAGAGAAATGTTTAAATCATTTTGTGTTTAAACATTTATACTTATATTCTAAAGTGCACTTTTTCTCATATTTTTTTTTACAAACATTAAAGCTATTTATATTATGCATATTATTATTCACCAATTAACAATATACAATTGACAAATTATTTATAAATGTTGCCTTTGTTAAATTTTATTAAAAAAACAAGTTTTGTTTTTTTTATTACAGGGTCCAAGACAATTAGAACCTACTGTATACGACCAAGTAGTATTGAAGCAACAGCAACAAGGTTTAGCAAGGTAAGCTGAAGCGTAAATACTTTACTTGTAATTTGTTTTTTTCTCGAGCTTTACTTTTTTTAACCTATGAACATTTTTTGAAATGTATTATTATAAATTAATAAGGCTTTTTATCATGAAACCGATAATAGAAAATTATAAATCTAAAATCCTAAACGTATACATTGTCAGGTAAATTTGTCACGTGAGACATTCAAAGCAGTCAAAACTCGAAAAAAAAACGTATGATCTCTAGAAAGGTTGAACTGAGAGCAATCAGTCGTGCAACTTTGACTCAACTGGATAGTCACTTATCGGTAGCGCCTATACCCTTAATTTTAATAATTTTAATTATTATTATTTAATGTATAACGAAACCCGGTTTTTCATTTTTCCTTCATTTATAGGTTATAGTTATAGGTATAAATGTTTAATGTTAAACTTAAAATCAAAATTTGATGTTTGTGAGACTTTGACTTTCAGACTTAACTGCTTTAGAATTTTGATGATCGGTGATTGAAATTGGACTAGCGACTACAGAAATTGGACTAGCGACTATTCATAAATTATGAAGGCTTAATTATTAGATATTATATATATTGGCAATATACCCAGTTGGACTATATTTTCTTGATCATTAAAAATTAAGATTCTTATTTTGCTATAGAAATTAACATTTAAATATTGTTTTTAACAGTGCGTTTAATTTCTATACTAAGTAATATAGTTTGCTTTTTGTCATTTATTCGTATTGTTATCTGTCATCATTTGGCGATAAATAATTATGTTTTGTATAGAGGTGACACAACAGTAAATAATAATCCTATAACGTAACGAGACTAATGAGACCCCTTGTTAAAACGAAAATTTCAGGGATATTCTCAATAATATATAAAATTGGACGAAAAAAAGTTTGTGCTGTTTCTTTTTCCCAAACTCATTCATTAAAAGAAATCTTTTGTAGCAGATTGGTTTGATGCCAATTCCTTTTTGTTTTCGAGTAATTTTATTTTATTAAATATATTTTTTATTATTTATCAAAGATTTTTTTCAATTTAATACAAAGTTACAAAAAATTATCATACACATTTTATTTTTAATAATCAAGAAAAGAGAAGGTCCAACATGATGTCTATAAGTTGCCACACTTTTTATGTTCTTTGATATAAATTATAAAAATTATCTATTTTTACCATAGAATATTATACAAAAAGACTAGGGAAATAATATATGGCTAGAAACGCAGGTAAGACTATAATAATACATTAGCGGTACCGATATCATTATGCAAAGCCTAGACCATCACAAAAGTTAAAGAACAAAGACTCAGGAAAACGGAGATGAAAATCTTACGAAAAATTAAAGGAATAAGAAGAGCAGATCGAATAGCAAATGACACAATAAGAAATGAACTAACAATAGAACCTTTAGAAGAAAAAGTAAAAATATATAAAAACAAATGGAAGGAACACGTAGAAAGAATGACAGATTACAGAATTCTACAGAAAATGCTACGATAACAACCTTATCCTCCAGGAAGCTGAGCAGGTTTTTTAAACCTAAACTGAAAGAAAAGGATACGACGACGATGCGACGATAGATTTAAAATATCATATTTTTAAATCAATATATTCTCTACCATTGGCATTTACGATAATAGGTGGCCAGTGTCGTTTTTCGATCCAATTTAATCGGATAGTATCGTCATAGCCCTTCATAACGGAAAAAGCTATGAATTAAGGTCAATGTTGAAAATGTTCCTCTTTACGCTTTTGTCAGTCATTGTAAGGACAATAACGTTACTGACCGCATAATAAAGGTAAATATCGAAAAACAACAGCTATCAACAGCAAACACAATATACCAGCTAATATTTCCTCAATGTTTCTGTTAGCCCTTTCCACTGAACTCTGACTCTAAAGTTCAATTTTAAAATCAAGACATTCAAAGCAATCAAATTCGTATTAAAATTAAAAATAAAAACAGAGAATCATGAAAAAAATATTAAAACCAAACCGATCAAAATTCATTCGTACAATTTTGTATAGTCACTTATCGGTAACGGCTAGACTTTTGCTCAGCTGGTAGACACAACATAACAATATGCGCCTTCAGGGAACACAGCGGCTGACTGACCGCTGAGTAGTTTGCTCAGCGGCTGACTGTTTTTGTGTGTAATAAGAGACCGTTTAGGGAAATCGCTTACTCAGCCACTCAGCCGCTGACCGTCCCTGAACGCGCCCAATACAATATAAAGGCCCAAGGCAATAAATAAAGGCCTAAGCCCATAGGACTATCCGGCTTGGTAATAGGGATAGCCATAATTAAATGACGCTACGTTTATTTTCCTATGAAGTGTGTTGTAGTTCAATACTTGTGTTTTAAATTAGTTACAAAGTTTTCTAATACAACATATTAGAAAAGTTTTCTAATACAACATATTTATTTGGCTTAGGAAAGCTCAACCGAGCCCACAGCCTGTTCCTCAAGCATCCTACCGTCCTCAGGCAATCAAATATGCCCAGCCAGCTCCTCAGCAACAGTACAGCCCAAGGTATCAACAAGCTGAGGCAGCCAGCAATGAAGCTGAAGAAAAAGAAGACGAAGGTGACTTTGATGTAAGTACAGAAATAATATTTTTTAAACAATGCTGTAGCGTTTTTTAAACAACTACCACTGCGAACGGCAGCTTTTCATCGGAGAGCAGTCGTGAATAAGGTATTTCACTGGAAAGAAAACTAATTAAGAACAATAAACAAAAAAATAGATATTGGGCGCCAGGCATGTACAGAGAAAGAAAACACAGTTGTATATTACTTAAAACTAATGACTATATTTATTCATGATGAATTCTGATGGTAAATAGCATTGTACAATTTTAATAATTATTATAGTGGTTATTTGTTGAGTAAAACTATGTATGTAAATAATATTAAATATGTTTTATGAAAAGACTATGAAAAAATACAATGCGTGTAACGTTATAGAAAATATAAGAAAAGTAGCATTACTTTATTTAAATTGTTAAATTTTATGCGGTGTTAAATCTGATATATTGCAACCTGTAGATTCTAGAATCTATATCTCGTTATTCATCTGTTAATATAGCGCAATACTAATATCTATAGAAAATAATACTATTACAAGGCGTAATATAATGATACCTAAAATCTAAATCACATTGTAACTACTGAATCGACATAAATGTTCTTAATAATGTAACCACTAAATATAGTCTGTATGATATTATTTAAAATGTACGTTACTGTTTAAGACTGAAAATATAGAAAATCTAAAACATAAAAACTAGAACGTAAATCTACACTTAGCTGTTCTTTATGTAATCTTGCTTCAAACAGTAGCAGCGTGAGGTGGTCTCGCATCTCTGTACTCAGCCATCCAACACAACCAAAGGGGCCAGCATGAGACACCATAAATTGGTACAGCCGTAACTAACTAGCTTACAGCTGGGAACGAATCAGCATGGGACTCAAGCTACATCCACGCTGTGGCACTTATATGTAAGAAAAAATCGTTCTTACTGGGGACACTCGTCCCCAGTACATCCGTACATAAGATAATGTCCGTACACAAGACACTACCTTGGACACAGTCCGTACCTTGGACACAGTCCGTACCTTGGAAATAGTCCGTACCTTGGAAATAGTCCGTACCTTGGACCCTAAAAATATGAAACTCTTGTTTAAAACCAAACAAGGTCTAATAAACAAAATAAACCTACCTCGAAAAAATAATAAACAACATGTCCTTTCTTCCATGTGACATTCTGGAGGACAAAAGAAAAGGGACGCCAACGTGCCAGCAAAACACAAATACAAGTTGGGACATCCGTAACTCTACCCTAAAAATATTCAATAATAATATCGAATCTATAAGGATAATATTTCATCTTTACCTGTTGCTTTGAAATAGCAGCTGATTCAGATTATACAGCAAGATTTAAATAATCACCATTTCTAAAAGCTGGGATACAACAGAGCGTCAAAACAAAGTGAGGTTAAGCACGGAGAGTTGACAGAAGCGATGTTGACAGCGCGCGCCTCCACAGAATAGTAACAGGGTTGTGTCGAACGATAACAGGGTTGGCGACTAGAGAACGTAAAAATTACGCGTCAAATAAACTATCCGGCCTGAACGAGAGGGAATCCGGTGATGATAGGCCAGACATCATATATTATATATAAAAAAGACATGTAACGAACTAAAAACGTTACAATACCATATTCAGACTTGGCAAACACCCTTTTAATGTTTTTACTCTTACTCTATTTACTTACTGTTTTTTACACCCTGTATGAAAATTCATAATACATTCATGCCTGTATTTAAAAATAACTTATAATGAAATGAAATTAAGAAACTAAAAACAAAAGGCGAAACTACTCTAATTTTATTAAGATAAAAATTGCAGCAACTGTTGCAGTAAAAATGCAATATTATAGACATTTATAGATATTTAGTAGATACTTATGTAGGAATATGTTCTTTCCAATATCTAACAGTTGGCGATATCATCAATTTTTAAGTAGCTTTTTATTTCACAGCTATTTCCAACTATTGTACAAAACAAAACATACAACTATACAGGGTGTTTTAAAAAACATGTGCCATATCTCGTGGGGAGACTTCTCACGGAAATATTAGATTTATTTTTTATATCAAAATAGATCTTTGTTTCGTAGCTACAGGGGGTTAAAGCTTTAAAAATGAAATATAAAATTTACAAACAAAAAATTAAAAATAATATCTTTTAAATTGCTGACCTGGATATTATATATTTGAATTTTTCAATTGGCTCGATTTTCCTTATTCAATGTTAATTAATGCTCATCAATACTGTTGCGATGAATATAATCAGGTTAAATAATTTAAAAATCCAGAGTCGGACTTGAAATTATTTTAAATAATAATTAATATTAGTTTTATTGTTGTTAAAGTATCCAAAACAAAAAAAAATACAAAGCGTGACTCATTGTTATACTCAGGAGACTGAATTCTTTCAAAACCTCAAATAAAAAATGCAGGTCCGTATTTAAAAAAATTAAGTTGGCCTAGGTATCTCACAAATTATTAGTTAATTTGAAAACCCAAAAATACAATCAGATAGCGCTGATAAAGTGGCTATGAGAATGTGCAATTATTTTTTTGATTTCCTAAGAAGTAACGATAGAAAAAATAATATTTATTTTGAAAAAAAAAATCAGTTTTTCTCAAAAAACTCAGCAATCTTTGAATTTTTTTAAACTTTTTTGATGCTATCTTGGTGAACATCCCAAGGAGCAACTTGGCCCCAATTTAACCATTTTCGTATCTAATACGGTTTCCGAGATACCAATGCTCGTACCAAGAATTTGTAGCACCCTGTATACAATACATTAAAGACAACCCTCGTAAGTGGTGTACCAACCCTACATATTCAACAGGGACGTACATATGGTTTATCACTGGGTGTGCTTAGTGATGCTGGTAGCAAATATTTCCATTCGAATTTTGCATGAAATTTCAGAAATTTCCGAAATATTCGGTCCCCAATCGCGAATATTAGCAAAAATCCGAATTTTGCAAGAAATTTCTTTTCAAAATTCAAGACATTGAGCAAAAATTTAACGAAAATGTAGGTATCAAGTATGCCTATTCTTAAATCAGAAGAAAAATAATGCTTCTCCGTCTTACAAAATAGAAAACATATGGCTCTTAAACCAATGCATTTTGCCGCGAATCTCTTGGACCCCTCTGTTTAATGGGAGAACACCTTAACAATGAAGAACACATAGCCGCTATGGAATTTATCAACAATATCACCAACAAACATCCTCAGTTTGTCAATAATAAAGAAGCCATTTTTACAGATGTAACAAATTATTGCGCCAAATAGGGTTTATGGGCTCTCAACTACGTTTGGATGTCAGTTAAAAATGTAGACTGTCAAAGTTGGTGGCAAGCAATGCAGCAATGTGTAAAAATACTCAGTTGAAATATTTAGCTGTTGCTTGTCTTTACCAACGTCATCTGCAGCCATTGAGAGAAGTTTCAGTACTTACACTTTTATTCATACTAAAAAAAGGAATCGCTTAACTGCACAAAAAGCCGGCAAAATAATGTTCGTAGCTCATAACAATAAATTATTACTACAAAAACAAAAAGTGGATACGGAGCATGATATTCAACAACATGAAACTCCTCTAGAACCAATAGAACCCGTAGAGGTAGAGGTCCATCCTTCAGAATCAGAACCAGATGATACATCAAATATATCTGATTTGGAAATATAAACTGACGAAGACAGTACTACTACTACTATAATACCCTATGAAGATGGGACCAGCTCGGCGCCTGAAAGTATTCAGGAATAGAACAATTCAGTTATTTGTGTTTTACGTTTTTTAAATTTATATTTCGTGCTTTTTTGTTTTTTTAAGTTCATAGTTATAGTTCATGGTTTATGTACAAAGTACAAATGTTACCAAGTGATTTTTGTTATGTGTTATATTTATGACTTTTATGAGTTATGTATTGTTTATTAAAACAATACAACAAATAATATACATATATACAATACAAACAACCAATATTATGTTTATTGTTTTCTTCCACTTACATGTTGGTATCAAATGTCTATCTAATTTATTCTTTTATTGTATCAACAAAAAATATGTAAAATTGTAAAATTTCCCAAAACGTCATAAATTTCCGAAAGTTTCGGAAATTTCCTGCAACAATCGAAAATTTCTAAAATATTAACATCAGGTCTAGGTGTGCTACTGACTTTTTTGTTTTGATTTTCTTTCATTAGATTTTGTTATATCCTGTAAAATTTCACGTTTCCGACATTTTCTCCGTTGCATCAGCAACAATGTTGAATTCCAATCAACTTAGGTGACAATTTCAAAACAAGAGAATAAAATATAAATCTGAAATTTGTTTTTATTTCGACTGCGCGTAGTTTCCATTGTCGACGAATATAAAACGTCAAAGGCCGTAAAAGTTCCAGACTGTCATAAATTTTGATATTCGTGCCAACGGCAACGTAACAATATAAGACTATAATGACAGCAGAGAGAGATTGACAAAGTGTATGTGAAAATTGACCGTAATACTGACTTAATAAAATTACATGGAGCCAAATAAGTTTTAAGGTCTATAAAGTGCAAAAGAGAAAGAATTCTGCAAAGAAATAAAAAGAATATAGTTATAGTATATATAAATAAATACAGTGTGAGTCTTAAATAAGTGAATATATATTCAGGGCTAGTAGATCTGGATAAAAAAAATTAGTTTCTTTCATCTCGAACCTAGCAATTAGTAGTTTCAATTAGTGATGTGTCGGTATTTGAGTAACGCGATTTTGGAGCATTATTTTTTGTAACGTCGTGTCGCGATCCACATCGAATCTGGAACCTGTTACTGAAGAACAATGATCATAATAACGACGAAATTATAAATTAATTATAATTTGTGAATAAATTATTTATAATCGCTCTTGTAGTTGGCTCGAACCGCAGTAACCGCATAGCGTCATGTTTCTCTCCAACCGTAGCGCTCCTAGGGTCGCGATTTCGTCGGTTGCCAACAGCAGTAACTGGAACTGGTAACGTAG